TTTCATATCCATGTAACTTTGCATTAACAGCCCTAGTGATTTAAGTCCGTTAAACTCTCTGGTAACTCCCTCCTGCCTCTCCTCACTGCCCCCTCCAAAGTACCAGACTGCAAAATATCCACCAACTGTCCCAGTGTTTCTGGAAGGATGGCATGGACTTGGCCACTACACCAAGGAAACAATGCTAAGAAGTTGATTCCATCTCATCTAGAGGACAGGGCCAGGTCTTCCAATAAGTATAGTCATCCCAGCGGGTACTGAGAAGGAAGAGTGGGTCTTTCCTCCTGAGCTCACAGCTGCTACCTGTAAAGGCAACCCAGGATTCAGACTCAGGTGAGATATGAACATGGACGTCACCAAGAACCCCAGATATATGATTGGGGCCCCAGCTGGGGCTGCAGGAAAACTGGGGAAGGGCAGCCTGCTCTTTCTAAAGGCTCCTCCTGAAAGCTATGCCCTCGAGGAGTGTGATCTGGGGGAATAGGGGGGTGGGAATAGTATCAGCTATGCTCTGTGAGGCAGCCTGGACAAGAAACACAGGTGAGAGCAAAAACCCCTGGCAGGATTTTCCTGGAGCACACTGTCCTCTTTTTGCCTGTTCTGTCATTGTCTGGGATGGAAAAGGAGCCCCAGGGATGGAGAGATTGGCCAACTCTCTCCCTGGGAGAAGCGTTGTTCGAGGACCAAAACTCCAGAATGCCCTCCAAGATCACCGGAGGAAGTGACACTCTCCTGACTTCCTGGACCCTCCATGGCTATTGTCCCAGTTTCACTAATCACCTACGAACTTGAATGCCTGCCTCCCCACAGACCGTGGACTCTACTGGCAGGCAGCCTGGCTGTCCAGCTCACAGTCGTATCCCCAGTACTTCTGCAGGTACTGGCCCATAGAAGGTCCTCAATAAAAATCAACTGAATAAACGTTACCAGCAGGGAAGGACCCAAGGCCTGGCTCAGGCTGATGGGACCTGACAGAGGCCACCCCACACACCAGGCCCAGGGTGGCCCCTGCCTTGGATAAGACGGAAAACAGAGTGAGAGCAACCATTGGCACATAGCAGTCATGCAATTCGAGTTTGTGGGCCCTCTGTCAGAATCTGGAAAACCCCAGAGGGTCTGGTTCATACCCCAGCGTGGGGCAGTCAGGTCAGGTCAGGATTTCATTCTTAAAGGGGCTGCCATCACTGGGTATGAGGGGATAGATGGGGTCTGTGTGTGTGCTCTACTTTAATCTAATAAGAATCAGTCTGTGCCAACCAATCTTTTCCCCACATTGCATGCCAGGCACGATGGAGGCGCTTCATTTGTGTGTACAATGCGCATGACACACCCACATACATTAACTCCCACAGCCCTGACAGGCACTATTACCACCATTTGCTGGTGAGGAAAGTAGGGCAGACTTTTAAGGTCATCCAGTGAGCATCTGGCTGAGTCAAGCCTCAAACGCAAGCTTTTGGCTCGTTCTGCATGGGCCTGCCTCAGTAATGCCCGTCACAGCCCCGGTGGCCTACCCAGGCCAGAGCCCTGCATCTCACACTGAGCCATGTATGCAGTGCAGCATGGGGTCCAGGGTAGGAGGAGGGTGGAGAAAGAAGGCAGCAAGGAATCCAGAAACTTTCCCCCAACCAGACACCTCCCTGGAGCTGGCAGCAAGCTGGGCTAGAAAGACCACTGAGCCCGGATCATATAGAACCAGCTGGGTAACCTTGGGCAATTCTCTCACCGCTGAGCCTCACTGGATAAAACAGGTGAGAACCCCCAGCACAGGGCTCAACATGCAGTGAAGGAGCCTCCAGTTTGTGGCCTTGCTCAGCTACCCCAACACCACAAAGCTCAGCAAATCTTTCTCTCTCAATCTATGAGTGAGCCGTGGCAGCCGCCCCTCCCTCCCAGGAAGAGTCCAGCTCCACAGGGTCAGGCAGGGACCCAGCACCAGGGCTCTATGCAAAAAGAATGCCAGGGAAGTCCTTCTCTTCCCTGCCCCCACTTCCCAGCTAATGCTCCCCAGAGAACTGAAGTTCTCCTTCCGACCTTCCCTTCCAAGTCCAGTGGAAACGATAGAAGTATTCCAGAAGACCAGATGTCCAGCTTGGGAAGGGGCTTTCCTGACTATCTGAAAGTCAGCAGGAGGTAGCAGTCTCATCTCATCACCACTCAGAGGCTCTGATGGATGGGGGTGACTTCCCCGAGGACAGTTGTGCCCTTCAAGGGGCAAGTCACTTTCCCTGGGAATGGCCTCCAGGGAAGGCCAGGGAATCACAGAGCTCCTTGGCTTTCCTCCAGATTGCTGCACAGTGAGGAGTGCTCCAGGGGACTGCTGTCCGACTGTGAGTCTAGCCCTCTGCTCCCAGAGCTGAGAGAGGCACCATGGCAGAGGGGCCAAAAGGGGGCTCCCATCGTGGCAGCAGGGCAAGACCACCACCTCTACATGGGCCACAAGAGGGCAGGGGCATTGAACACCTATGCAACCAGGCTCTCCTGCTTGATTTCTGTCCCTGCGGTCCTCCGATGCTTGGAGGACTCAGAAGAATCCCTCTCAGCAAGAGCTCTCTCGGCCCCTGCAGCCAAATAAATGAGGCCCATGGCCACTACATCTACAACTCCCCCCCACACATACCCAATCAGAGCAAGGCAGGCCCTAGCACCCCTGGGCTAACCATCCCTTGGTGTCCCACCACGGTCTCTACATATGTGGTGCTCTGTGGTCTGGACAGCACACTAGCACGTAATCATAAACTAGCAGACCCAGATGGGCCATGAGGACAATCTCGTCTAACCTCCAGCTTGTATGAAGTGATGATGCCACAACCCACGGAAGTTACAAGAGTGTCAAAGCCACACAGCTTTTCACTTTGACATAATCTGCTCAGGCTCCCTATGAGATAGTGAAGCTCAGAGAGGACAAGGCCCTGACCCCACAGAGCACACGGCTAGGCATTCGCGAATAGTGGCCTCCAGCCTGGCTGTTGACAGGTGGGTGCCTCACCGGGGAGGGTTCAGGAGAGCTAACAAGCACCTATTATTGTGGGCACTGGCACACACCCAGAGTCTCTGGGCCTCTCTTGCCTCTGACCTGAACTAGAACCCACAACCCATAGGGGGCATAGCCTCCCCGAGGAGAGCAGGAGCAGCCCTATGGAGCAGTACACAATGATAACAAGCTGCCTAAGGGAGGACAGAGGAAGCTCCGGGGGTGGTGCTCGCTGCTCTCACTCTACCCCACACCCATTGTGCCGCCCTGGGTTTAGGAAGACTATACCCAGCCTCATTTCATCAGGGTGAGCAGGCCCCTTCTAACGGGCTAACTGTGCCCTGGTGTCTGTCAGGACTGTGCGTGGGAGGACCATGGGTGTCAACCCTTGGGGACCTTCTCCTCACCCCAGGCTCCTTACTGCTCAGGTTGGCAGATGGAGGCAGGAAGGCCGCACGGTAGCTCTATCACCACCAGCCACTGCCATTACCACACCTCCATGCCCCCGAATCTACTGCCACCTCTTTGTGCCAGCCCGCCCAGCCCCACCTGTAACTGAAGGCTTTGTGGAAGTAAAAAAATAGATCTGCTAGGTTTTGGTTCCCATAACAGCCGATAACTTTCCACAGTGTTTGCCAGACAAAGGTATGGGTGATAGGGAAGGTGTGTTCATCTGGTTGGTGCCTTTAAAGAGATTCTCAGGAGGAAAACAGGTGGAGCAAAATGGAAGGGGAATGGTCAGCTGAGCAGCCCAGACACTGGATCTTCAGTCCAATATAACGGGGAGGAAACAGTGACCAAGCCTCTCCTCTGGGCCAGACACTGTGCTGGGGACTTTACAAATGCTCACTCCACAATCCTTTGAGCTTTATACTTTTATTTCCCGCTTTACAAGGGGCGGGGTAGGGGGTTCGATCAAAGATGTTAAGCAACTTGTCTAAATTCATCTGATTAGTAACTAGCAGAGCCAGGCTCTCAGGGCAGTTGTATCTGATGCTAAGCCCATACTCTATAGGCAAGCTCTTTGAGGACAGGGACTTGGTCGTCAAATGTGCGTGTTCCATTTGTTATTGCTGCTGTATCCTCAATGCCTAGGGCTGTGCCAGGCCTACAGGAGGCACTCTGAATACTGCCTGGATGAAGGAACACCACACTGCCTAGGCAGGCTCATGCTGCTAGGCTCCTGGGCTCCATTTCCAGGAATCTCAGACAACTATGTGTTCCTTCTCTCCACCTAGAAAGGTACCCAATCTATTAAAATTCCTCCAAAGGCCTCCTGAAGAACAGATGGGCTTACTAGGTGTAAGATGGGATTGGGAATGGAAGCATAAACTGAACACAAAAGACAAGATCCTCACGAGGTGAGGACTTTAGAAGTGCTCTGTGACCTGCTGATTCTAGGCCACTCTTGGCCCCTCCCCAACCCTGGGGCTCCCTCAGACCCCTACTGCCTAGACTGAGCTGTACTGAAATTGGCCACATTCCTATTAAGCAGAGAAACTAACAATTACGCCACCCACCCCAGCTCCATCGGACCCTCGCAGTCTGCTCGGGGCCCCAGGGCCAGCTGCTTTTTTCCACATTCCAGCCAAAAATAATACGAGAACGAAGCTGTTTGGTGGAGACTTAATCTAATCTTCATTGCTTCAGTTTTAAAATATCCTGCCTGGTTTAGGGTTTCTTATTACACGCGGGGATGTGTTTTTAGTGAGATAGGTCTTAGCAGAAACGTCCTTCGTGTAATTAGAAACCCAGGCAGGCAGGGCCTGCGGTGAGGCTTCCAAGCCAAACAGCAGGTCCCCCTGAAGACACCGCGTTTGCAGCAAGTTCTTGTCCAGGTCTGGGGCTTGGTTCTCCCCTACTCCTAGGGGATCTGGTAGAGGGACTGGGCCTTCCCGCTCTCGTGCTTTCTCTTAGCAAACTGGTTGCTCCTTCTACCCTAAACCGGGCTCTCACCCCCAGTCAGAATGGAGACTAAGATGTTGCCCGTGACTGCAGGAGGAGGCCATGCGGAGGAAAAAATTACCCGAGAAGTCCCCACAGACAAGGGAGAATTAAAGGCAAGCTTCCACGGGAGCCATATCTCCAGAATCAAGGCTGGCTTTGAAAAATCAGGCTCAGGAACGGAAGGAGTGTCCAAGCTCATACACTTTTGTGTAAGTGCCGGGAGTAACTTCTTGGGCTTTCTGGCCCAGAATCTGCTTTGATCTGCCAGCATGGAGACTAAGCGAGGGTCAGGCTGCGGCTAGCTCTGGACCAGCGCCCATCCCCCCAGCCCGACCAGATGTCACATGCCAGTTGGTGCTCAGGCCTCTTCTTCCCAATGACATAGAGAAGGGGCTGGATCTCTGATAGGTCAGATTCTGCGTCCGTCTGATGCATGAAAGCTATTCCAGGTAGCACCACTGGGAATAAGCATGCCAGTTTCCCCACCGCAGCAACTTAATTGTCCCTCCTGATGAAGTGCAGGTGGTTTTTGGAATCACAGCAGGGTTTTCAAATTCTAGGATGTAAAGAAAGGCAGGAGGTCAACCCATTCACCCAAGTCTTAGAACTCCTGAGATTTAAGAGGAAAGGCCGTGGAGCCAAACAGGGAAAGAAAACACTGAATATTGTGACTGCTGCTCGGAAGCCTTCCCTCACCCATTCCCTTTGTTATTTAGAGTGCACCCAGTAAGATGCCTGCAGGATTCCCTCAGGAGCAATTCATGTGATAAACTCATTTTGCAGATGGAGAAACCAAGATCCAGAAGCTAAATGACTGGCTGGAGTCCTGTAGCCAGACAGTAACAGGGTATAAAGCTGCCTGGCCCCCAAATTTCAGCCTAAATACTAGCTCAGCATGCTGACCTGCCAACCTTGATTATCTCCTTCCTCCATTCCCACCAGGTATTAGATTTAATTAAATTAGCAGATCCCCATTGCTACAAGCTGGCCAAGCAGCCTGGCCAGAACCCAGCCAGTGCGGCTCCTCCCTCTAAATTCTGCTTCTCAATAGAATTCAGTCTTCAATAAGTCAGAAATCTCATGTGTTTTATACAAAGTGTGGTGTGCTGGCTAGAATCAAGGCTAACGGTGGCTCACGGTGATTCACTTTCACCCTTTCCATGCTCTGATCTGCATTTTGTTTGATCAGACACTCTGGTTCCCATGCCGTCACCTCCAGCAATTGCATCACACGTTTATATATATCTCGGCATCGCAGGCCTTGTGCCACACAGCATAGGAAAAGGAAAACTTAGAACAGCATTTCTCACCTCCCTCAAACTAATTTAGAAAATGTGCTCCAAATTAAATAAATCGGGAACAAAAGTCTGAAATTGGAGATAGAATTTGGGGGAGTGCTAAATAAATAGCATGGAAATCTTGCAACATGTTGGAAGCCTATAAATTTTATAGGTTGTTTCTTTAATAAAAAACAAATTCAATTGCTAACAACACAGTATTATTAAGCTGCTAACATTTAAAAATCTAATTTGGCCGGCTCTGCTGCTGTTCATGTTGCGTGTTGCATTCACTCAGAGTAAGGAAGTTGGGTTGATGGGTTTGGTTTGGTTTCTAAACCAGGCTAATAGAAGCCCCTTTAAAATTCGGCCTTTTTGCTTTCTAGGCATGCCGTGGTCCCTAATGAGTTACAGCCCCAGGTTGAAGATGGACATGGCAGAAAGAAATTTAACACACACTCTGGTACACCCATAAACATCAAGGCCAAGGGAGAGGAGGTATGTTTCCAGTTAAGCTAGAACTCCATGAATGCAAGATTCTCCACTCACAAGACAGTAATTCTCCTTATTTCATCACTAACTTACTTCAAATGTGTTTATACAATTTATTGCTACTGAACTTCCAGGCAACTGGTGTAGAGTTAATGAAACCCAGCTTGGAGAAGCTTTGAACAACTAACCACAGTTTAAATGGTTATGACATGCGGTCAAAGCCACAGCCCAGCCCCAATGCAGTTTCTGTGTTAGGACCTAGTCAAAAACCTTGTCACCTCACCTTTTGTGCCAAATAGATTGGAAAAGGGAAAACTGCTGAAAAAAATAGCTTTCCACGTTTCTTTTCAAGGTTTCCAGACTTTCTCCCTGACATTTTAACACATCTCTCTTACTAAAAGCAAGGCGAAGCCCCTCCCCCAGCCCCCAAGTAAATATTTTAGTTGCAGTTTGATTTGGCAGCCAGTTGAAATCCTGAAATCCAGTTTGAGTTTAATTGAATAGGGCCAGGGGTGTAAGGGGGGGGGGGGACACACGAAACAACATTTAAAGTCCAAAAGGCGAGACAAGAATGTACAGGTGACAGTAGACTGGGAAAGAAGTAAACTCGTCTTTCAGAATTACTTGGACATTGATTTTTATTAATCCTCGTTGTCACATGGCCTTCCGCCCCAAGCTCTGTCCATGTGGGAACTCCAGGAATCTCCCTCTTTTTAAACAGGCCCATTTTGGAAGAGTAAAGGGGAGGTACTGGACTCATCATGGCCCCACAATAAAAGCCCCTTTTGAAAGCAGCACTTTCATTAACTTAAAGCAATCTATAGACTTAAAAGCAGAGAGCAGTAAACTCCCAGAAAGGATCATAAAACAGCCAGTCTCGAGTTCGGTGCACTTCAGTGCAATTTGCACGAGGCATTTTACTGTGAGCCGGGGCGGCCCATCTCTCTCCAGTAACCCCCTGCCCCTTATTCTGAGCAGCTTCTCTTTCTCTCGGCGGCTTTCATGCCTTCGGAGCTCACAAAGGGGAGGCGGGGACCGCGAGTCTCCGCGGGGTCACGGCTCCCTCCTGCACTCGGGCCCTCGGCGGGAGAGCGCAAGAATTCCAAGCCCGCGGAACAACAGCGTGAGCCCCGCGGCCGCGGCCGCTCGTGGGGCGCGCCGCTCCTGCTCCCCGGCAGCCCCAGCCAGGGGTACGAAGGGTGGAGGGCTGGGAGGCTGAGCTCGAGATGGCGAGAAGGAGATTTCAAACCTCCCTCCCCTACAACTCCCCCCCCACCACACTGCTTCCCTAGTTGGCCCGAGGAATAGCCTCCGTCCGGGTCGGGACTTCTCTCCCTCCCCCAGCTAGGCCTGAGCCTGAGTCCGGGGTGCAGCTCGAGTGAGAGACTGAGAGTCCAAAACAGGGGACCCCTCCCTTCCCCCAAGGTCTCGGGGCCTCGCAGAGGCCAGAATGGCAGAGTAAGCGGGAGGTCTAGGGGCTAGGCTTCGCGCAATTTATCTTTTTGTGTTTGAACACCATCGTTTTCTCAGTTTGGGGGCGGGGGTCACCTAAATCTGTCTACAATGCGAAGCTTTTGTCTTCCACCAGTTGGAGAGCATTTGATATCCGAGAAGTTAACACGATGGAGAAGTCCGGGGACAAGAGGGTGAGGGTAGGGGACCCCGAGCTCACCCCTTTCCCAGGCAGAATATCGCTCCCGCAGCCCCGTGCGTGGGCCTCCGGGCCGGGCCGCGAGAAGCGCAGGCAGCGCCTGCAAGTCCAGAGCCCGGAACTCAAGTCGGGCGCCCGAGTTCGAGCCCTCCCTGCCCGGGCCGCAGCCCGAACTTCCCACGCGCGATGCGGCACCTCGCGGCTGGCGCCCTGCGCAGGCCGAGGCCCCTGCAGGCAACTCGAGCCCACCCCGCCGCCGGCGGCCGCAGCCC